ATACTTAATAATACTACTTAATTATTAATACTACTTAATTAATAATACACTCTTCTAATACTTGAAAGTATTTAAGGGGCAAGATAAAGAATGTAGTGTTCACAAATTTAATAGGCCTAATACTAATATATAATACTAAGTAAGAAAAATGGCATGCTCGCCCTTTCAATTGCGGGGACGTTATAATGTGGCAGTCAATCGCACTATTCGTTCGTAAAGAGTAGCTCCAAAGTTGGCGGTGTTGACTACATAGCCTGCCTTCCCTTTAGTATATCACTTTTAAATTAGGGACGGCGAGTGCAGATAGCCCTTGAGTAGCAAAATAAAAAAAAGTAAGATAGTATAAATAGGTTTTATGGTGATAAACGTAAGATAGTATAAATAGGTTTTATGGTGATAAACGTAAGATAGTATAAATAGGTTTTATGGTGATAAACGTAAGATAGTATAAATAGGTTTTATGGTGATAAACAGCTATAAATATCTTGTGTTTATAGCTCTATTTTGAAGAGTGACGTAACAAGAAGTTTTATTGACGTCATCTACTGCAGTGAATCGAATATATAACCTTTGTTGATAATAAAAAATATTAGTTCAATAAAAACAATGTATTGGTGGACGTTTTGGAAACCTTGTTAATTTGATTCTTATTTGTCATTAATAACAACTTAAAATGTAATTTAAAAAAATTATAATAGTCGTAAAAAATAATAAATAGAGAGAGAAATTAAGCAACAAATTGACTGATGTTAAGTAGATAAACAAGCGGGAAAAGGAAAATATTATTGAGTGTAGGAAAAAGGGAAAAAAATAGACACTTTATATACGGTAAGTATGATAGATCGATGACAGAAAATAATTGGAAAAAATCAATCGATTGAAAAACGAACCTATGACCTACATGTTTATATACCACAGATATTATTAGGTAAGCAGATTGTAGTAGTCTGGACCAGCGGTTCTTAAACTATGGGACGCCCTCTTTAGGGAGGTGAAGGAGTCCTCTAGAGGAAGGCCACTGTCTTTTTAAATATAAATTTGGTAATTCGAGAAGAAAAAAAAAATTTTGTGTTTAGTTTTGATTTTATTGTTTATAGGGGAACGGGGCATATTTTCTAACAAAAGTTACTAAAATTTAAACAGAATCTAAATCTTAGCAAAATAATCTGAATAAAGAAGTCTCAATCTTAGCAAAAACTCCAACTCCGCTAACATTGAAGTTACAGAAAAATTTGCTAAATAAATGAGAATCTGGTTGTTAATACAAATACAATAATATCACACAAAACCAAATTGCATAAAAATATTCTTCTGCACGTGACCTTCGTCCACCTTTAGCCTAGGCGAGTGTTATCTAATGCGTCACGAATAGTAGAGTAAGACGTACTTTTAAACAACTCATAAGTCCTTCATTTCAAGAAGAAATATTCGTGATAAAAACTAAACTTAGTTTTCATAAGATAAAGTATTCAGCTAAAAAATTTTACAAGTAAGTTTTGTATAGTGTTTCAGAGGGAAGAAGGAGAAATGTCGAATATGCTTTCCCCATTAACACAAGTGTGGGATGTTCAGTTATAATCTCGAGGCATTCGTGTTTCAGTCTTCACGTCCAGAGTTAACGTAACTTATGATTTATAGTTTTAACTGTAAACATCAATAAGACACCTCAGATACTGGAAATGACTACTCAATTCGTGTTAATTTCACACACACACTCTTCTCCAGTGCAGTTAGTCAAATAATGTCCCTCCTATTATTTAGTATTGTTTCGTTCTGGGTACTTTAAATACACCCTAGCTACTGAGGGGTTGTAAACTTTAAACTGACGTGGAAGGAATTATTAGGCATATAATAAGTTATGTACACAGAAGGAGTTGGGGGAAAATCAGAGGTGTAGGGGGCTCAAAGTATATTTGACTGAGGGAATCTACGCCACAGGTGCACCCATTACGACCGCGGTACAAGGCTCGATTTAAGGCCCTGGAAGCTCTTGGGTTCTGGATTAAATTTTATGCACTCTACAGTTTTTCCTAGGAGTAATTTTCCCAATTTTGATCCATTTTTATTGGGACAGATAGAAAAGTGGGAGAGGGTGTTTCCTATGCCACTGAAAATAATATCATACAGTATCTAAATAACCAAATCCCTGGGTATTGTTACTTATCCACGTGTGCGCGCGCATGCGCATCTTTTTAATGAGACAAGCTAGCGAAAAACCAAATAGAAAAGAAGTGGTTACTTATATTACATAATACTAAGTGGACCACGAGGGTGTACACATAGGTATTATTACTTATTTTATC